TGCCAGGGCGCATGCCCGCGAGGCATGAGCTGCGCCGACGCGCATGTGATCTGGTTCTTCGCTGCTGTTGCATCCGGAGAAATTGTAACAATTGTGAATTGCATTGCTACGAACACAATCAGTTTCGTCATCATTTGTTTGTCTTTTAGTCTACTATCTCTTACCTGTATACCTCTTTCAGAGTTAAACAAGTGTTTCATTTCTCAAAACAGCAAATTCATATTTATCTGCCCTACGCAAATGCCGATTAGAGACATAAATCTGCGTGTGTATTTCAATCAAAGATACAAGTAAACACATTTTATAAGAGAATCTGATAATTTGCCCAAGTTACCTCTCTTCTGCTATCAAATCAAATGAGCCAACTTCCAACCACGATTTTGGAGCAGCCTTATAATCACACTAAGGCGCATGCTTTACCGACGCCTCTACTTTACCATCAATATCTCCCGTTTTAATACTCTGCAGGCCCGTTCATCGCGTTTTAGGAAAATACTCAAAACCAAATTGCAACTGTCAGTAGCGCATCTCCCTCCGCCACACGGCGCGAATTATCTCCATCCTCCAAGCCGGAACAAACTTAAGCATCCAATTGGCCCGTGGTGATTTTATACCACACCAAGGCTTTTGCTTGGTGGGTCTAGAAGGGTCAGGATGTGGACCCAGCCACAAGTTCACAACAATCTGTCTTAACTGTACTAGCCCGATGTCATAGCGCTATAGCAGGCCTAAATTGCACACCACCCAGCCACCCACGCCACAATTATGGGCCCATTCTTAGGGATAATAAGCGGTGACACACATACCTCGGCAACACAGTACTATGGTTTCAGGTAGGCCCGGACATTGCAGCACGATGGCCTGATAGAGGACGGGACCAAGTGGACCACCAGCCATCCGGTGCCAAAAAGGCGCAACCATGCTCCATTTATGCGCATTAAGGTGTACCGGGGAGGACTGATGGTGACGCAAGGGCGCTGAGTCCTCACATAGCTCGCCAGCATTGTGTCATCATTTCCATTCCGGTCGCCCGCTTTGAATCGTCTCGTGCGGGCCTCAGACACCAGGACATGCGTTGCTGCATCCAGCAGGCGGCCAGACTTTAAGATGCGAATGGTGGCCCTGTCTGCTGTCGACATGCGACGCTAACCAACAATTGCTAAGCCACGAGAGACTGGCGCTGGAATAGCACTGTTCTCGCGTCACTCTCCTGACCTAGCCATTAAACCCCAGATTTTGCCTGATCTAAATGCGCAAAAACTTCCGTCCTGGATGTGAGTGCGGTACAACACAATGGCTTCAGCGCGTCGTTTGCTGCTAGAGCCGAAGGCACACCAACTCCCGACTTTGATGCTCACATATGACAAATAAGGAAGAGCCACGCTGCTGGGATTAAACAAGCGTAACCTGATTTGTTATTGAGTCGGCATCTTGGTCCTCCAAGCTGCGCTTTACCCTCACACAAGAATCAGTTCAATTTCCGAGATGGACTGCGCGTGACCTGGAACCAGGTATCACTTTACTTGCCCTGATTGATTAATCAACCCCTCCTGAATGTGCAGCCATACTCTGGATGCACATACGTGTGCTGCGTTCCACCTTTGAACTCTCCCCATCACCCTGGTGTATAATCTGCCGCTACAAAACCAGCTTTAAGGCACCACACGCTCTACTGATTCGAAGCCAGTTGCTTTTATTACCCACATGCAACATTCCTCACAATGTGACACTCATATACCCGACTTAAACTAACAAAAGCGCACAATATACCGACCCACATTCCAAGCTTGCAGCCAACATCAATCATGGCGTCCAACCAGGTCGCACCCCAACCAAAAACCGTCCCAGCTCGTCCAAGGTGTGCACGTCGAACAACCTCAGCAAACAGCAGTCAGGACCGAAAAACCACCGCAGCGT